TTAATATACAAACTCATCATAAATACTAACATTAACACAGACAAAAAAATTGACATAGGGGCCACAGAAAAAAAATTAAAGTAGCTACAAAATAAAAAAAATATAAACTTAAAAAATAATACAAACTTTAAATAAATAAATAAAAGAAATAAATATAATATAAACATAATTTATTAAAAAACAAATAACAAACAAATATTAAAGTACACACTTCTGCACGTGTATGTACATGTACATGTGGACATTCACATACACAAACAAACAAACACCAAAATAGGAACAAACCTAACCCCCACCATAATTAATGTCTCAATATATAAAACCAAGGCAAAAACAAATAAACATCTAACAATTAGATAAAAATAAAAAGGAAACATTAATTAAATGATAGACAATAACATATGATATAAGCATACATTTATTTTAATTACATAGACTGCTTAACAATTACATGTATACGCATAGGTGCAACATGTGTGTGGTACATAGATAGGTATGCTTGAGTGTCTAATATATATATATATATATATATATATATATATATATATATGTGTGTGTGTAAAAATATATAGAAAATAGGAAAGAACTGGTTAGGTAAATAATCCAAAGTTTTAAAAAATACTGCTCGATACAAAAGTAGAGCATAAATATAATTATTTATTTAAAAATATGATTCCAACATGCTACATAAGAGTTCTCATGTTTCAAAACAAGAGCTGAAAACTTCAATATAATTATTTGAATTAAATTGAATTAAAGTAAGCTCTGTTCCATCTTCAAGCGAAATTTTTTTTTGGAATAACTTATTTCTGAAATTTACGTGTTTTAATAGTATATTCATAATTGAAATCAAAATTTCCATGGTAACAGCCAGGGCGATTGTTTAAATAGGGAGGTGTGTTGGGTGTTAATAATATATGTCAGTATAGAGTTACATTCATAGATGTCAAGTCAGGCTAAGGTAGGGGTGTCTAAATTTAAAACGGAAGATGTTTTTGCCCAGTCTGGTTTACATGTCTATGGAGATTTATTTATTTTTTCATTTTATTTCTTTATGAAAGGGTTTTGTGTATATAAAAACTACCGTAACATTTGTTTTTTGATGACTTTATAAAGGGTTATCTTTCTTTGTAGGGTATTCAAACTATTTATTAGGGCTATGGATTATAAAAATTATATTATTGTATGCTTGTTTTTAAGCTAATTATTCAATGCAAAAATTTGATGATGTCGGCAAAAAACCGTTAACTCATGTCTATTGTTTAATAGATTTTTATTATTTAGAAACTATATATATATATATATATATATATATATATATATATGTTTTTTTTTGTTTTTGTTTTTCAAGCGTTTCACCCCAAGCAAGGCGGGAAGCCACTAGGACACAAGGGGTTACAGAATATTTGGAGCAAGATCAGATAGAAGTGATAGGAGAAAGGATGAGGAGAAGGATAGTGGATAGATCAAGGCAACTGGAGATGTCGGTTGATATTACATTTGTATAGCTGGAGATTATAGCTCTCAAGGAAACTGGAATAGGGAAGGGAGTTCCACAGGCGAGAGGTGCGAGACATGAAGCGATTGGAGTAGAAGAGACGGTTACATTTAGGAGTTTCGACAGTGAAAGGGTGAGAGCGGGATGCCAGCCTCGTAGGGCGCTTGAACTCATGAAGTCTGGGAACCAGTGAATGCAGCTCCTTGGAGCAATTGCCATGAAAGTATTTGTAAAATAGACAGAGAGAGGCGATGATGCGTCTGTGAGAAAGTGACTGTAGACGCGATGCCAGAGCAGGGCCAATTATATTGCATATCCGCCTCTGGAGCCTATCAAGAACCCAGACCATATATGGCAGCAATACTCCATGTAAAAATGATATTTAAAAAATTAAATAACTTCACCATTTATGAACTAGTCTATTATTAATAAAGCACAGACTTAAGTGTACTTGTACCGGTTTATCTGTGTTTGTGTGTACATATATGAATATGTGTATGTATGCATGTATGTATGTATCTGTATTTCTGTGTCTATATATATATATGCATATATATATATATATATATATATGTATTTACCATTTAAGCATTAGTACTATTGAGATATACATACATACATACATACATACATACATATATATATATATATATATATATATATATAAAACATATTAAATTAGGCAGCATATATTTTATATATAAATAAATAGTCATATATAGAATCAATCAACAATATTAATGCGATTAATGGTGAAATAAAAGACAATTGATCCGCAGTAAAAAATTCCTGAGAAAAAAAACTACTAAGACATATCACTATATTAATTGAATTATATACTTAGTTCATGTCATGTTAACTGAAAAACACTTGTAAAAAAAGAATTCGTGGATATACCATATTACAAATTTCATATAAAAATTCTCACTTAAAATTTTGAACTTTAGCATTGCAACTAGCACGTTCCAAAATTGTACAACCGTCAATAAATAGCACACTCTTTAAAAAAACATCTTTCGGTCTACAAACAATGATTTTGTCTTCAAGTATTAACTTTAAAGGAAAAAAATTACAGCCTGACGATGAAGGAATGATTCTTCGAAAGTACTTGCTTAACTTAAAAAATACACACGAGAAACATCTGACAACAGTTTTATAAATGAGGATCACATCATTCAATGGATTAACAGTATTTTAATGTATACATTATGTTTCTACTAATGAAGTGATTTCGCCATTAATCACATTAATATTGCTGATTGATTCTATGTATGATTATTTCTTTATATATATATATATATATATATATATATATATATATATATATATATATATATATATTAATAAACAAATAAATCCAAAATTGCCTCATAATTACCTATTTTGGCAGATGATGATATCGAATGATATGTAATTTTTTTTCCCTTAAAGTTAATACTTGAAGACGAAATCATTGTTATATATAGGCATATACATAAAAAATATTTAATGTTTAACAACATGATCATATTTAAACGGAACACTGATCTTATAAAAGATTTCATTTATCTATTTGGATTGGTATTGCTTTTATGTCCATCATCTTTTTCATGTTGAATTGTATATGGCCTACGTTAATTATGTTTTATGAATATGTCCTGAAGATGGTCTATTAGACCGAAACATCCGACGTTGACATTAAACATTAAAACAGCATAATCACATATTAGGATTTTTGTTTGTTTTTTCAGTATATTTTTCTTCATACTGTCGGATCTATATCCATCTATTTGCTTACATATATATATATATATATATATATATATATATGGTCACGTGGTATAATTTTGATTATCGCTATTAAATATGCGTTTCCCTTTGCCTCTAGCCAGCTTTCCCTGACAAAAAGATGAAACCTGGGTAGGTTTGTCTGGCTCACTATGTTTATCTAGGTCTGCTCTGCGGTTGTATTGAGCTCTTTTGTTAGTTAGTTGTTTAATCGTATCGGGGTTTTTTCTTTGGGCTTTAACCCTGTATCTGTGCGATTTTTTTCGACAGACTTTCATGTTTCTAGCTCTTTCTTTTTTTAAAACCTTTTTTCCTTCGAGATTGATTTGATTATTGGCAAATCAAAAATTTGAGGGTTTTACGAAATGAGTATAGTTACCTATATTTGTATATATATATATATATATATATATATATATATATATATATATATATATATATATATATATATATATATATATATATATATATATATATATATATATATATATATATATATCCATATCTCAGCAAAGCCTCTAAGACACAAGGAGAAAGAATAATAGAAGAGTAATCAGGAAGGCAGTAGATAACAATTGACATTGCACTGGGAGAAACCTGCATTAATACAAAAGGATCTATCAAGTTGAAACACCAATTCTCGTCCAATCACCAAAGGTAAGCAGCAACAAGGCCTGGTCAGTACTTAGATGGGTGACCACTCGTTGCATCTTACTAGATGCAGTAAAATTGGGTGTGCTCATGGTGTAATTGAGCAGCTCAGAATTAAAAATTGGAGAGCAGAGTTCAAATTCCAGTTGGGTCTGTTACATTTAGTTACACACAAGAATTTCTGGGAAAGATATGACTCCACCTTTTCTTCCCCCAGCTGTGGGTTAAATAGTAGAACTTGTATCTGAAAATCATTATTTCCAAAACATTGTTAATAAAATATTCACTCAACAAAAGATGAATTATTCTTACAATTCAAAATATGTTTCAGCATTATCCTACAAAAGGTTGACAAGCTGTAAAAAACAAAGAAGTCAATCAATATATTGCAAATATATATATAATATATATATAAATAATGTTTTTAGCATTTGCTTTGCAGGAATTATATTATGTCTCTACCGAGAATATGTACAAGTGCATAACTCAAGTGCCAGTAGTGTTTTCGTTTCAGACTGATTCCATTTCTTATTTAGCAAGGAATCCTTAATCTTGGCTTAACCCTTACACAACTAAATCTCTCTGGACATGATTATCTCTCCTTCTCTCTCTGAAATCTGTTTATCTTAAAGACATTGATTGACTATTCTTTTCTTATCTAAACTGACAAAGAAGAAGAAGAAGAAGACTGAAAAAAGGATAAGAACAGAAAAAGGAAAGTAAAATTAAAAGGATGGAATATATATAAGATGAAAAAGAAACAACAAATGAATGAGAAAAAGGGAAAAAGTATCATGGAAGAGAAGGAAAGAAGATAAACGAACTGTATGTGCGCACACATGCACATGATAATGAAGTCTTTCCAACCTTATATTATTTATATATAAAGGTTTATCTTACCCATGAGGTGCAGAACTGTGTCTCAGAGTTGGAAGATAAGACATTGAGCTTACATTGTACTGTATTGAGTACTTTTTAATGGCATACTTTGTAAAAGTTGGGTTTTTCCAACCACAAATACATTTATATATGTATGTCTGTTTATATATGTGTTAGTATGTATACATATATATTATTTTCCTACATACATATTTGTGTAGGTATATGCAAATGAGATAGATAGATAGATAGATAGATAAATAGATAAATAGATAGATAGATAGATAGTTAGATAGATAGATAGATGCATGAAATGATATCTATAGATATGAATGGAATGAGATAGAGAGACAGACAGATACATAGAGGTAAATTGAATGATAGATGAATGGAATAAGATGGATATTAATGGAATGAGATAGGTAGATAGATACATACATACATACTTACATGCATACAAACATATATATAAATTGAATGAGATAGATAGATAGATAGATAGATAGATAGATAGATAGATATGAGCAAATTGTGATAAACATGAACAGGCAGAGATAGATACAAACTGAATGACATAGATAGAGATAGAGAGATAGAGAGAGAGAGAGAGAGAGAGAGAGAGAGAGATGCAAACAAATTGTGATAAACATGAACAGGCTGAGATACATAGATATAAACTGAATGAGATAGATAGATAGATAGATAGATATGAACAGACTTAGATATGTATAGACTGAGATAGATAGATATTGATAGATAGATAGATAGATAGATATGAATAGACTGAAATAGATAGATAGATAGATAGATAGATATGTATGAACAGACTTAGATATGTATAGACTGAGATAGATAGATATTTATAGATAGATAGCTAGATATGAATAGACTGAAATAGATAGATAGATACAAACAGACTAAAATAGATAGATAGATAGATAGATAGATAGGAACAGACTGAGATAGATAGTTAGATAGTAACAGACTGAGATAGATCGATAGATAGATAGATAGATAGATAGATAGATAGATAGATAGCCTATAGTTTAGTTCTCATTGAAAATAGGAGACAATGTTTAAAAAGTGTTGGCCTAACCATTTTCTAAAAATTTTGACTGTATGACCAAACATCAGGATTTATTTTGGAATCCTTTCTTTGTTGAGCTGCAAATTTTCCAACTTGCTGTACAAAAGAGAGTTTGATAGAGAAAAGTCCCAAAAAACAAATGAGAGAAAGGAGATATTGCGAGAAAATGTTTGGAGGGAAGACAAAAAAGTTAAAATAGAGAGAAAGGAGAAAGTGTATGAGTGACAGTGCAAATAAAGAAGTGAAGAAAAGTTTTAAAGAGACCACAGCATGTATATTTAGAAAGAGCAACAGAGAAAGAATAAGGGATAGAATAAGGGAGACAAGTGGAGAAGAAGAGAGGGGTAGATTTTGTGAAGGAAAGGGGAGAAAGCAAAAAGTGACTTAAAGGGAGCCAAGAAAAAGAAGAGGCTAGATATACTGAAAAAAGGGTAGAAAATCAAACAGAAAAAGATACAAAGGGAGACAAATGAAGAAGAAGAAGAAGAAAGGGCTAGAAAGAAAGGGGGGAAAAAAGAGAGAAAGAAACTGAAACCAATTTAAAGAGAGAAAAAGAGGAGACATATTTTCTGAAAGAGAGAGAAGAAAAAAAAGGAAAGAAATGAAGAGAGACACAGAGAAAAAGAGGAGGCTAGATTTACTGAAAGAAAGGCGAGAAAGAAAATCCGAAAACAGACAGAAAGCAAGATAAATGAAAAAGAAAATTGTGTTAGATTTATTGAAAAAAAGAGGAGAAAAGAAGAGAGATAGAAACTGAAAGGGTGGCAAAGAGGGACTAGAATAAATGAGGGAAAGGGGAGAAAGGGCTTAAAAAGACTTAAAGGGAAAGAAGGCAAGAAAAATAAAAAGAAAAAAAAAATGGCTAGGTTTATTGAAAGAAAGGAGAGAAAAAAGAGACTGATAGGTAAACAAAGAGAGAAAAAGAAGGCCCTAGATTTACAGGGGTAAAAAGAGAGAGAGAGAGAGAAATGGAAGAAAAATCAGGGTTTGATTTGTTGATAACAAGCTGAGAATGAAATAGAGGCAGAGAAAAGGGAGACAAGGAGAGAAAAAAAGTGCAACTAGATTTATGGAAAAAGTGAGAAAAGAATGATAGAATGGGAAAGTCTGAATGGAAAACAAGGAGTGAAAAAAAATGCACAGAGAAAGAAAAAGCAAAAGAGATTAAGAAAGAGAAAGGTAGAAGGAGATATAAAGGTGGACAGAGTTACAGAAACTTGAGGAAAAAATGATTAGGAGAAAGGAAAAGAGAAAGAAGAGGAAAGTGGAAAAAAGATAGAAAGAGAGGCAAAACAACTTGGAAATAAAAAAGTGACAAACAAGGTATCTAGGTGAGACAAAGAGAATGAACAGAAAAAGAAAAAGAGAGAGATCGAAACAGAAAAAAGAAATTGGGAGAGAAAAAAGATGATAGAGTAACAGAAAATTGAGAAAGAAAGAAAGCAAGAGAAAGAGAGAAAGAAATGAATAGAAATAGTGACATAAAGATAGAAAAAGAAGCAAAACAACTTGGAAGAAGAAAAAAGAGACAAACAAGGAACCGAGGTGAGACAGAGAGAATGATTTGCAAGTGTATAGCTATTTCTCCAATTGTTGACCTGCATTTTATGTCTATTCCTCTGTGTTTTGACCTCCCTTCATGTCTACAAAGCACCCATCCACACAGACATTGGATGAGTCATGGATTATCTTTCTGGATTGACTGATTGATTGATCAGCCAATTGATTTAGGGATAATCTACGCAGGAAGAGAAAGAAAAGAAGATGAAAACTATAGAAACTGTTGAATGTCATAGTTTCTGTCGTACAACTCATTCCGTTTTCTGATGGTAAGTGAAATTGCCATGGTACCCAACTAATGAGCAGTGGGGAGGAGGGTTGCTATGGGTTTTGGGAAAGGAAGGAAGGAAAGAAGGAAACAAGAAAGGCAGAATTGAGGTTTCTAAGTATAAAAGCCAGAAATGAGAAAAAATATTGAAAAGGAAGAGAAAATTAGAATGGAAAGAAAGAAAGAAAGAAAGAAAGAAAGAAAGAAAGAAAGAAAGAAAGAAGCAAAAATATGAAAATGAGGAAGACAGGAAAGACAGATTAGAGGATTCTGAGAAAAGTGAAAGTATTATTGCAAGAAACAGAAAAAATGGAAAGAAAATAAAGAATGATTAAATAGATAAAGGTAGGAAGGAAGGAAGAGAAGGATGGAAGGAAGGAAAAAAAGAAGGAAGGAAGGCATCCAAAATAGAGATCAATAGGTACGAAAGTAAGGATTACTGAAGGATTACTGAAAATAGATTGAAAAAGTGGAGAGAAAAGAAAGAAACAATGGATGAATGAATGGAGGAAGGAAGGAAGGAAGGAAGGAAGGAAGGAAGGAAGGAAGGAAGGAAGGAAGGAAGGAAAGTATGTAAAATTTAGATCAGTAAGTACGAAAGTAAGAAATATCTAAAGAATTACTGAAAATGGATTGAAAATTCAAAAGAAAAGATTTCAGGAAGGGGAGTATGCAGAACAAAGATTTGTAAGTACAAAAGCAAAAAATATAAGATGGTACAGAGAAAAACAGAAAAAGGAAAGACAAGAAAGAAACAAAGAAAGAAAGTAATAGGGGAGGAAAGAAAGAGGAGTAAAAGAAAGAGGGGGGAAAGAAGAGAGATTAGAGATAGTGAGAAATGTGAAAGAAATATAGGAAATAGAAAATGAGGGATGAAAAGAAAGATTAAATAGTGAAAGAAGAAAGAAAAAAGAAAGCAATGAAGGAAAGAGTGGAAAACAGTATAAAAGAGAGAGAAGGTGTATTGTGAGAAATATGAGAAAATAAATATGAAAAGTAGAATTTGATGCTGGAAGGAGGGATAGAAAGAAATAAGAAAAGAAGGAATGTAGGGTTCTAAGAAATTTGAAAGAAAAGAAAAGTACAGGATTTTGAAGAATTTGAAAAAAAAATATAAAAGAAATATCAGAAGTGGAAAAAGAGGAAGGAAGGAAGGAAGGAAGGAAGGAAGGAAGAAAAAAGAAAAGAAATAAGAGAAAAAGAAAGAAAGTATGGTTATAAGACATGTGAAAGAAGAGTACAGGATTGTGAGGAATTTGAAAAATATTTGAAAGAAATATCAGAAGTGGAAAAAGAGGAAAGAAAGAACGAAGGAAAAAAGGAAGGAAGGAAGTAAAGAAATAAGAGAAAAAAGGAAGGAAGGAAGGAAGGAAGGAAAAAAGGAAGGAAGAAAGGAATGAAGGAAGGAAGGAAGGAAGGAAGAAAGGAAGGAAGGAAAGAAGGAAAGTAGGAAGGAAAAATGGAAGGAAGGAAGGAAAAAAGGAAGGAAAAAAGGAAGTACAGGATTGTGAGGAATTTGAAAAAATATCAAAAAGAAATATCAGAAGTGGAAAGAGAGGAAAGAAAGAACAAAGAAAGAAAGGAAAGAAAGAAGGAAAGAAGTAAAGAAATAAGAGAAAAAACAAAGAATGTACAGCTCTAAGAAATATGAAAGAAAAGAAGAGTACAGTATTTTGAGAAATTAAAAAAATATATACAAGAAATATCAAAAGTGGAGGTTAACTATTTTCCCATAGCAGGGCCCCTAACAGGTGCTACTACTCCCCAAATAGTTTCTCAACATACCCAGGACTAAAGAAAGAAAGAAAGAAAGAAAGAAAGAAAGAAAGAAAGAAAGAAAGAAAGATGAGGTTGGTGAGTTATATTGGAAAAGAGCTTAGAAAAATGATAGTTAAATAAAAGAAAAAGTAAAGAAGAAAGAACAAAGAAAAGAAAGAAAATACTAGCATATCTATCTATTTATCTATCCATCTATCTATCTATCTCTGTCTATCTATCTATCTATCTATCTATCTATCTATCTATCTATCTATCTATCCCCTGTCTGTCCTTTCTATCTATCTATCTATCTATCTATCTATCTATCTATCCTATCTACCTATGTCTGCTCCTATCTATCTATCTATCTATCTATCTATCTATCTATCTATCCATCTATCTATCCCTATCTATCCTTTCTATCTATCTATCTATCTATCTATCTATCTATCTATCTATCTATCTATCTATCTATCTATCTATCTATCTGTCTGCTCCTATCTATCTATCTATCTATCTATCTATCTATCCCATCTATCTATCTATCTATCTCTGCTCCTTTCTATCTATCTATCTATCTATCTATCTATCTATCTATCTATCTATCTATCTATCTATCTCTGTCTGCTCTTATCTATCTATCTATCTATCTATCTATCTATCTATCTATCCCTGTCTGCTCCTATCTATCTATCTATCTATCTATCTATCTATCTATTCATTATCTATCTATCTCTGTCTGCTATCTATCTATCTATATATCTATCTATTATATATATATATATATATATATATACTATAAGTTATGGGTATTCCCATGTTATATTTTTTTGATTTTGTGCATTCACATTGTTTTTTGATTAAGTCGACTGTCAAGTATAGTAGGATATGTGAGAAAAAGAGCAGCATGAAGGAATTCACTCCACCAGAAATTTGGAAATGCCATTCTGTACTACTTATCTGGCAACAGGAATCTGCATTATGCCACATATACAGGAGAAACCAGTCATGGCTGTTAGACAATTTCTGCAACCACACCACACTTTACACCTGGCCACAGACTGCAACTTCCTTGATTATTATGTGTGGGGTGCAGTTGAGTAAGAGACTGACAAAAATACTTGTAACAGCAAAAATGAACTGAAGGCAAGGATTATGGCAGCATTCAGCAATTTAAACAAGGAGACCGTCCCAAAGAGTTGCAGGAGGTTCCAAAGTCATCTGAATCTATGGTTGAAGCCAATAGCAATTTTATTGAATAAATTCACTCTTTAGTATTTCAACATTGTGTAATTTGTCTATATTTCTGAGATGAGATATTATGTTCACTATTTACATTATTCGGACTATTGTCCTCATCTTTGTCACCATATTTATGACAACGTTTTGGCCCTTCAGTATCTGTCTATATTTCTGAGATGAGGTATTATGTACACTATCTACATTATCTGAACTATTGTCCTCATCTTTGTCGGCATATTTATTACAAAGTTTCAGCACAGTGGATAAAGGTGTTGATTAGATCCAGTGACAGGACTCAAAGAGTGTGAGTCCAATACCCAGTTAAGGCAGTGGAGAACTTGGAGAGCAGAATTAACAGGAGATAACTGATAACTGACATCCATTAAACATGGCACAGTCTACCCCAGCGAGCAAAAGAAAGGGTTCAGTTCGACATTTCAACCACCTGAAGAAGGCCAGAGTGTACAACGGTCGAAATGTTGTAATAAATATGGTGACAAAAAATGAGGGCAATAGTTCGGATAATGTACTTAGTGTATTGTGTAATTTTCGTAAATATACCTGTTAAAATGAGATGTCAGTGTTGTATTCATTTCTGCCTAACTTAGATGACAATTTATCCATCGCACCCTGTTTGAGAAGAAATTAGGAATGAAAAGAAAGAAAAATCAGATAAAATAAGGAACTGAACTTGGAATTAATGGAAAAAAAAATCAAAATCAAATAAATGAAACCCATTTTCACTTTTGTTTTTCATTCCCATTTTTTTTTTGAATAATTCATTGAATAATACCAAGACATTACCTGTAATCTTCAGAAATTCTAGGGGCCAGATAACCAATTAATTGATATATTGGAATTAAAATATCAAAATCGAGATTACTTGTTAGGGTAATTAATGGAATAATGCCAAGACTTCACCTGATTACTTCAGAAATTATAGGGATCTAATAAACCATTAACTGATTTTTTTCAATGCCATGTCCCTTCAGGATGAAGGCAATCATGATTCTCCACTGATAACTTTTCTTTATTATCTGTGTATTGCCATGCATTCTTGGAAATGACAGTAAAATGGTTTTGTATCACCTTCTTTATTGTTTGGAATTCAGAGTTTTACCTCCACTTAGATTGGGTTTCACCCAAGGCTACAGAGCCTAGTTTACACTACTATTTAACCCATGCCTGATGTAATGAATATAGTCAAAGAAAGATTTTCTAGTAAAGATTTATTCTGTTTGATTATCAATAAAATTATGGCAAACTTGAAGGCTGAAACCTTTTGTATATGAATGTACTTGCATAAGGGGAGATAACTTGAATGGTCTTTTATAACCACAAGTGAAGAAAAAAAAAGATAGATTAATGCTTCTTCAAAGGTTATTTATGTGAAAGTGAATGCAACAGACCAGTCCGGTACTTGTATATTTATATGATATACTGGAATTAAAATATCATGATTGAAACTGTTCAATTGTTTGGAATAATTAATGGAATAATACAAAGACTTCCTGTCATAACCTATTAAATAGTTTATATCAAAATGGAGACTGCTTGATGGAATAATTTGGTGAATAAGGGCAAGAGTTCATCTGATAAATTAAAATAAGTCCAAGAGTAGGGAAGAGAATACATTAATTTTTATATTGGAATACAGAAATCAAAAGAGAGAACTCTTCAGGAAAATTTATCAACTCCTGTCTGTATATACGATAAATTCAGATTTAATCATGATTTTCAGATGTCTTTAATATATGAGGAATGCTCTGGGCTAAATTGTTTATTTAAGCATCTTTGAAATCATTCTTTGAGTGAAAGTTTTGAAAGTAAAGTCGATATTAATTTTACACTTTCAAAACTGTAGATGACTAGAGCTTGGCAGTTGATGTTTCCTCTGATTTACTCATTGGGTGGGTGGTATAAATTGAATGGTCACATTAATGCCTTGAAACCCAAACATTTCATCATCACTGATCTTTAATTTTCACTTATTGTAATGAACAGGCATTCTCTCAGGGTGACTCCATGCATTGAGCAGGTACTGGGGCTTAAATACGACCCAGACCTCAAGTGAAGCTCATGCATGTTTCATTGCTAAAGATAGAAGAAAAATGATCAGTTCCCTTTACTGCTCCAGTAAATATCTGACTCCTCCTGCAATCCTCTACCCTTACAAGAGCCTGATCAGGTAGAAAATGAAATACTGCTGCCCTATCTTGGTTGGAGTTGACCAATTTTCACTTTCCTGATTTGATAGGATCCAAAAATATATCCATGTCTTTCACCTTACAACACGTTATCTTCCCAATATATCCCCATAATCTTTGCATCTTACTCTGTAACCCTCTAGCTCGAGTGGCTCTTGGGATTTGTACAGAGTGAACATCATCGCAAAGGAAAAAAAATAAAAAGGCCAGAATGAAAGGTGACTTCTATTATTGATCAGTTTGTGATATTTTTGGTTTATCTTATTTAGCTTTTTACTGTTATGTGCAAAAGATGTAAATAACATTGAAAGTAAATTGTACGTCTTCTGTATTGTATTGAATGATTCAATGAAAAATTGTTTAAAAGTGGAATGAATCTTTGAGGAATGAAAAAAGGAAAAAATACAAAAGAAAAAAATGATTGATAAATTGAAAAAAAGGACAAAGTGAATGTTTAAAAAGAATTTGAAAAAAAAAGCAATAAAAGAAGGAAAAAAAAATTGAAATATTATAAATATGAACATTAAAAGAAAGAAATAAAGAAAGAAAGAAAGAATGTAAAGAATGTAAAGAACGTAACAGAAAGAAAGATAAAACAAAATAAAGCATGTAGAAAATAAAATTTTGGAAAAGAATGAATCGAAAAAGAAAAAGGAACAATTGTAAAGAAAATAACAGAAAAAAAATGAAAGAACACAATGAAGAAATCACTCACAATTTTGAAAGGAAAATTAGAAAAAGGAGTGAAAGATAAAAGGAAGAATAAAATGAAAGAAAGGATATGATAAAGAAATCAGTAACAATGTCAAAAATAGGAAAAAGGAAAACAACAAAAAATAAAACAAGATGACAATAAAAGAAAGAAAAAAGAAATGAACATGCGGAAACAAAAGAGACAAAGAAATTCTGTGGAAACAAAAGAACAAAAGAAAGAAAAATGAACACATGGGAACGAAAGAAAGAAAGAAAGAAAGTAGGAAAGAAAGAAAGAAAGAAAGAAAGAAAGAAAGAAAGAAAGAAACGAACATGTGGGAAAGAAAGAAAGAAAGAAAGAAAGAAAGAAAGAAAGAAAGAAAGAAAGAAAGAAAGAAATGAACATGTGAGAACAAAAGAAAGAAAGAAAGAAAAAAGTTATAAAGGTGCAGCAATAAAAGAAAGAATGAAAGAAAGAATGGCAAAAAAATGTGGAGCAAAAGAAAGAAAGAAAAACGAAACAAAAGAAAAAAAGTGAACATGTGAAACAAAAAAAAAGAAAGAAAAAGAAAGCAAAAATGAACATGTGGAAAAAGAAAAAAGAAAAGAAAGAAAGATAAGAAATGAACATGTGGAAACAAAAAAGAAAAGAAATGAACATGTGGAAACAAAAGAAAGAAAGATAGAAAGAAAGAAAGAAAGAAATGAACATGTGGAAACAAAAGAAGAAAGGAAATGAAACTGAGTAAAAGAGAAAACAAAATGAAAAATGTCAAAATGTGAAATGAAAAATTCTTTGAATGATACAAAAACGTCAAAAATAAAATGAAATAAAAGAGAAGAAAACCTAAAAAATGTAAGGAAGAAAAAATTAAATGATTGAAAGAAAAATTAAAAACAAAAAAAGAAAAAAGAATTAAATAGAAGGAAAAGAATGATTGATATATAAACAACTAAAAGAATATTTAAAGAAAAATTGGAAAATGAACAATAAAAATGAAAAATAAAGAAGCAAAAATGTATTCTCTGAAAAACACTCAAGCATTAAAGAATAATTCTAAGATGAAAGAAAAATAATTCAATGTTAAAAAGATGAATCAAACAAAGAAACGAAAATGGATTAAAGAAAAACAGAAAAAAAATAAAAAACGAATCAAAGAAATGAAGAAAAACAATTCAAAGAATGAAAGAAAGAAAAACGAATCAAAGGAAAAATGAATTAAAGAAAAAATTAAAAACACTTCAAAGAAAGAAAAAAATAATCAGAGAAAGAAAAATGAATCAAAGAAAAAAAGAAAAATCATTTAAAAATCATTTTAAAAAAATTATTTAAAAGAAGTGTAAAGGAAAAGAAGAAATAAAAAATAATTCAGCAACACCCAGAATTGAATAAAAGAAAATAAAAAAGCATAAAAAATAATAATGAATGAAACAGAGAAAAAAAAAAAGACTAAGTTAAAGATAGAAAATAAAAATGATTCAAATAAATAAAGAAATGAATAAATAAAAGTAACAATTCAATAATCCCCGGACTTGAATAAAATAAATTTAAAAAAATATTTTAAAAAAATAATGTGAATGAAACTGAGAAAGAAAGGAAAAACTGAAGCAAATAAAAAATAATGAAATAAAAATCAAATTAAATGAGAGAGAATGAGAAGATTAAAATACAAAAATATAATTTAACTGTCCAGGTGAAGTGAAGGCTGCTAACTGAGGCACCTATAGAATAACTCATCAAATTTGAACCAGAAATTATCAGTCATTATTTCCCGATTAGCAATCAATAATTTCGTCTATAGAGCATGACTATAAATTAATTTATCTCTGCAAATGAATTGAGATGTCTCCAGTTGGTCAATCATTAAAAATTTATCTCATTCTGGAACACACTTCTATACAGACTACACAACCTCACCCATATGGCATAACACCATCAGCAGTTTATATGAAGTTTGTGCCTTGAGGGTATTTCAAACAAGAACCATGATTAATTACTTGTGCAAGTGTGTGTGCCTAAAATTTGGGAGCCCAAGGGTTAAAAAAAAAACAAAAAAAAACATAGATTAGACGCCAATAATTTTTGTAGCAGAAACGAAAAAAAAAAAAGATTCAGTGACCCTCTACTTTGAGTGGCTCTTACTCCTAGTATTAGGTGAAAATTTAGTAAAATAAATAAAATTTAGTAAAATAAATAAAAATTTTGACTATCTTCATTTATGTGCCTGAAAATATAAAATGGAATTTTCTGAACTTCTATATGCTATATCTTTGAAACAGACAATCATAGCTCTCCACAATTTCCAATCTTGTGTGGCTCTTAGTAGCTTTTCTCCCTTTGCTAATGTTTCCACACCTCATTCTGTCATCCATTCATACAAGTTTGTCAGATAAGTGGCTCACAGCCTTACCCTATTTCTCTTGCCCTCAATATGGTTTGTGATGGTTAGATTTTCCAAGTCCCCTTTTCTCAAGGGATTTCAGCTGCCTTTCTCTGATTCTGAGTTAAAGTGTTCTCTCTGTTACCATTTTCTTTAATACTTCCTTGTTGTTTACTTGATTGTTGCAATAAAGGCTGGCAATCATTGTTAATTAGATTCTTGCTCGACAATAAGACCATTTTGATATCCAAAATATATAGTAAGAATTGCAAATTCAAAGTAATCCCACTTCTTGGAATTATTAGTCATTCACATATTTAAAAATCCAGCAACCTTGTTGAAATGCTAAAATACATTTTTTTAATTATTTCACCCCAAGCAAGGCAACAAAGTCACCAGGGTACAAAGGCTTACTGAGTGTGGGAAAATATGAGAAAAAGAAATCATTATTAAGGAGGGAGAACAATAAAAGAACTATAATTAAGAAGACAGTGTAGTGACCTTAAAGATAGTATCAGCAGCAGCTCTAAAATAAAATTCATATCAGCAGCAGCTTAAACATAGTACCAGTAGCACCTCTAAATAAAATTTATCAGCAGCACCTCTCAAATATAAAAACACATGAACTCTAAAGTAATTCTCTCTCTCTCTCTCTCTCTCCTGGGTTTTTCCTCTTTTGAACTGGTGTCATGAACTTTCCATGCTGAAGCTAAAAGTGCTGTGAATACTTCATCTAAAAACACACAAAGTTCTCATAACATATTCATGAACATTTCTTGTGTATACAATTTATATCTAACAAAATAAATTCTCATTTTAAACTTTCCTTTTGTTAATTTGTCAAATAAATGTTATCTTGCATTGTAAATAAATTGATCTGTTATTTTATGCATATCCTCTCTTTTCACCACCATTATTTCATGTACTACAAAATGTTTCCATAAGAAACCTTATGCCCTTAATTATTGATTAGGTAATCACTAAAACAGAATATAGCAATTGACATTGCATTTAAATTTTTGAGTATCAAAGTTGACTGCAAAGCTAGAAGCCAGAAGAGAGTTCCACAGGGAAGAAGTGTGATAGAACTGTTAGCATAGAATTTACAGTTACATCTATCCATTTCAATTACAATCTAGTAGTATGCTTAAAATCATAAAGTCAAGATTCCAAAGAGGAAAGTTCATCAGGACAATTAGCATGAAAATACTTATAGAAAAGGCACAGGAAGCAACATTACAGCAGTGGGAAAGTGACTGAGTGCAAAATGCCTGGTCAGGACCTATAACATTGCAGATTCTTCTTTGTATTTTATCAACAAATACAGAGCAGAAGTGACAGACCAGATGCGGCAGCAATATTCAATGTATGGATGAATGGCAGAGTTATAAATAGGTGAGAAAAATTGTCTAACATGACACAGCGAACCAATTTTCCTAGTGGCAGACCTATCAATTGTTTAAATATAATCTTTTTACTTTATATCAGTAGAAAACATTAGTCCTAGTAGTCACAAGGAATCACTCTCCTGGAGGTTAGCAGCAACCATGCTGACAGATGTAAAAGGGGTTCTCTCAGAGAATTAGTTTTGTTTTGAAGGCATTAAAATTAACAAGCCATTTCTTGTCCCAGTTAACAACAGATTGTATGTTATGTTTGAGCTCAGTTTCCAAATGAAAGATAAACTCATGGGTAGTTTACATATTAAATCTCTCTATGCTAATATAGCAGCTAATAAATGTTTACATCTCCAAAAGAAATGCCTCGTAAAATAAAAAAAAATAACCTTCACTGCCTACTGATAGACTAGCTTATTATAAACTAATGTCATTTCATTTTCGATAATAATTTTTATAGATAGAGATTTGGATTATTTACAGAATTCTTTTAGAATGTCTAGAAACTCATTCTTTCTAAAAATATTTTGCCTAGACAATCAACATATTTTTTGTTCATTAATAAAGCTTTATTTATATACCACCATAAAACAATATTACATGATCTTGTACATAAACTAAACAACATCAAACATACAAAAAAGCAGAAACAAAAAAATATATTTATGTTTCTTGGTAGAAATAAAATGAACTAATTTAAGCAAGAAAGACTAATCAAAATTTATACTGCAAATGCTGCATCTTTGAAATTTAGTCAATAAAATGACAATAACATCTATTACTATTAAATGTACAGTATGGTGAGAAGAAATTGAATGAAAAAGATGTCATCATATGATTAGACTGAAGTTCAACGAGCTAAGTTTCATTGCCAAATGAGGTTTAGGATCACTGAAGTTAAGCAATGTTCAGCCTGCTAGATGGGTGACTGTTTGTGAATACCAGGTGTTTTAAGTAGGCATGTATGGGAAGTTTAATGGATAATGTTTCAGAATTGCAGATCAGAGCGCCAAGTTCCAATTTCAGTTGAGTTGGTTATATTGAATTATGTGCAAATACCCTTGGGAAAAGTATAAATCTACTCATACTCCTCCCACCTATGGGTTAATTAGTAGTAAATGGATCAGTAAGTCATTATTACTGCCAAAAAAATTCTTACAATCTTAAGATATTTTCTGGCTTTAAATAACCTGCAAAAGGGTTGATAAGCCATAAAAACAAATCAGTCAAAACAGTTTATGACCAAATGGATAAAGGTGATAGGTAAATTTCCAAGGATAGGATACATTAGTTCAAACCTTATTGGAGGCTATTTCTTTTCACTTGTGATTAATATTGTTCACTTAACAATTATACAATGTAAATTGACTTTAGTGCTGCACTAAAAACAATAATAAAAGGAAAAAGAAACTCATCAATAATGAATAAAAATGCTTCATTGAAAAAATTGAAGCAATATAAACATACTAAATTTATACTGATACTAATCAATAAGTAATACTAATCAATAGACTGCATAAAACAAAAAGATAAAATATACAAATATAAACAGAATATAAAAAGATACAAAAGATATAATAATAAAAAGTGTTATATAGGAAAAAAGTGTTGCTGCCGACACTGGAGTTTGAACACTGATCACCAGAGAGCAAACACAGGTGATCCCATTTTGAATAAGTAGATCATGTGATGATAAAAGAAATGTATTAGTGTGGCATCTAAGTGATCACTATATTATTTTGGAAGTGTACTGGACAAACTCTCTGCCTCTGGGCAGAGAGGATCCCCAAACAAGGCTATGTTGAAGGGCAGAGGCTCATCTGGGGAGGTAGACAGCTACCTGACCCCATTTATATGGGGTCTACAGGAATTCTTGCCCAATCTGATGGGCTCAAATACCCCATAATAAACTTAGCCTTCTGCAACATCTGACCATGTGGGGTGGTTAGTGAATATCTCACTATCCAGATTACTTCCTAGTGTACTGGTCAAACTGTCTGCCTCCGGGCAGAGAGGATACCCAGATGAGGCAATGTCAAAGGGCAGTCTTGTCTCGGGAGACATCTACCTGACCCCATTTTTTATGGTGTCTACAGGGAATTTTTTGGCTCACAATAAACTCGGCCTTGTGCCATATCTGTCTGCGTTAGGGCAGTCAGTTATCTCACTCTACGAATTACTATTCGGATCACTATATGGATTACTATTTGGATCACTATTCAGTGGTTACTTTTTGAGTGAGTATTATCAAGCAAGTACTATTAGTGTGAGTGTTATTCAAAAGTGTCTGACACCAATATTGTTCAATGGCATTAGCATAGTTGTATTTGCAATTACAAAGTCTCTGCTGCAACAACCATTACAAGACAAGACTCTGCCCTTTGACATTACCTCGTCTGGGTATCCTCTCTGCCCTGAGGCAGACAGTTTGACCAGTATGTTAGGAAGTAATCTGGATAGTG